TTGAAGGTTTTGCTCAAAAATCCTCGTTTACCCATCTGATTGAGTCCTGTAAATCCTCCTCCTCTCCAGTTCTGCGGAAGAACTGAACGGGTTCTAATGAGAACCGTGTAAGCGTTCAAGCAAACCACTTCTGAAGATGCAAGCCACTCGTGCTTGCGAAACGTCAAGACGAAACTCTACCGAACGACGGCCTAAAAACCCATTAGTTTCAAGGAATGGCCTCGACAGTCTACCTCTTGAGTTCAAACACTGTAAACATCATGCTGTAAATATAAAGCAGTAAAGTATATGTATAAATAAAGCCAAATTCAGTTAAGCGGATTCGACTTGATCGTGAAAGCTAGTTGAAATTCCCCGATACATTGGAATAGGTGAGGCTGGATGCAAATGTTAACAATTTGCTTTTGCCAGCAGCTTTAGGAGCCAAACGTTCCCTTATGTGTTTCAAGCTCCAAAAAAGTTTGAACATGAAGGTTATGCATTGAAACGTATGCAAACTTTAGTTTTTCTGCTTGAATTTTTAGTCCCTGAGACTGAACCACCCTCATTGATATTCAGCACTCAAGTGGACGTCCGAAGAGTGACTCTGGACGGCAAACCTTGGCCAGGACACTCCACATTGGATGTGGATAGCAGCACGGGTCTGGAGTTTATTCATCGGTTCGTCTAGGCATTCCGTAAAAAAAGCCTTAATGTTGCTAATTCAAAGTTTTCCAGAAACCATACAGTCTGCTTCGTGTACCCGAATAAACCGAATAAAAGGAAATATGAGTTCGGTTGCGCAAATATTAACGATCTGAAGCAGCGCTGGATTCTCCAGCCTCGATCCCCATTAATTAAGGTAAATTCGCACAAGTATAGCAAACTGCAACTTCAATTTGCTCTGTTAGCTGGCAGACATTGTAGATACGGCCTTCGATTGGGTATCAGGAAATTGGTACTTTGGAATAGAGCGAAACGATCTAATTTTGGTCTGCAACAGTGGCCTCTTATGGTGCAACATCATTGTAGAGACGGATATTCGATCTCCCAGGTAATCAGCGAGCGAAGCTGCTGAAGCTCAGCTGATAAATGCGGGCTTTTCTAGATCACTAGCCGTGGATCCCACTAGCGGCTTCGTCTTTTTCACGAAATGGGGAGAATCAGCGCCCATGCTTGAAAGGGCTGATTTGGACGGATCCAATCGAACAGCTCTGGTGGAACTAAAAATTGTCTTTCCTCATGGTACGAGTGACTCAAATTACCTGCTTCAATCGAGTGTAGTGAACTTTGTTAATCGATTTAACCTTTCGCCTCGTGTTTTAGGTGTTTGTGTGGACTATGCCACCAAATACGTCTATTGGGCGGACAGCTACATGGACTACGTGGAAAAGGTGGATTATTATGGAAACAATAGGAAATCTGTAGCAAAACGACGGCACGTGAGCAACATTCATGGCGTCAGTCTATTTGAAAACAGGTAGAACTTTCCGATGCGGGATTATAAGTGTTTTTCCGAACCATTGTCGGTTACAGGGTGTTTGTGTCCTCATGGGACGATAACCTAGTCACAGAGCTGACTAAAACTGGCATCAAAGCGTCCCCTCGTACTATCGTGAGCAATGTTTCCCACCTATTAAAGCTACATGTTTTCCACCGGCAAAGACAACCTGATGGTAAGTCAACAAAGGTTCAGTGATGAATGAATCGCTGGAATTATACCAGATTTGCACGTCAAGTGATCTGAAGCTTCCTTGATCGACTTCTGATGTCCGCGTTTGAATGTCTCAAATGGTTCGTTAGAAATGAGCGTCCCAAGAGAATTGTGCAAACATTGGAAAACCGCGCATAACGAGGTTGAACTTCAAATATTTATTAGGAAGAAACGAGTAGTTGGACTGAAGCCAAATCTGCATCTCAAGTATGCTGAAGCTCCCTTTATCGATTGCGGATGTCCATGTTTGACAGCCTCAAACGGTGCTTGATGAATGAGCCGCACAAGAGCTTGGTGCTAAAATCGAAAAATCGCTGCAAAGCATTTCAAGTTCAAAAATGAATTATGAAGGAACGAGTGGCTAGAATGAAGGCAATTTTACATGGCGAGTAAACAGAAGTTTCCCCATCGACTGCTGATCTTCACGTTTCAACACCTTAAGAGGTTCTTGATAGAAAAGCTTCATAAGAGAATGGGGCAAGAGCCGAAAAACCGAACAAAAACTTCAAAAATTAATTACGAAAAAACGAACAGCCGCATTTTTGTTCTTTGAAAATGAGGAATCGAGAAGTAGTTTTGATTTTATGAGAAAATCATTGGCGTATATTTTTCCTTTAAAAAGATCAATTAGGATGCAAAGCACAAATATTAGTTTTTTTGCACAATATGCTCTTTTGTCTGTATGTAGAATAAAATAGTAAAAAAACGTTTTTTTAGTGGCTCATCCATGCAAAACATCTTCGTGCGATCATCTGTGCATCCCCGCATGGTCTCATACGGGAGTAGCAGTGAAGAAATGCATTTGCGCAACCGGATACATCCTGTTTGAGGATCGATGCATCATCAAAACCCCGGATATGTTTTTGCTCTATTCGGACCGCTTCACCAGAAGCATCCGTGGGAAGGATTTGGCTTCCGGTGCGTCCGAAACGTACATAAATCTTCAAAAAAAATCGGCTCTAAACACGTTTTTTACAGGTCGGGATGTGATGGTGCCGCTAATGCTTGATGAAGAGATACGCATTTTTGACGTTGATGTTCAAACGAAATCCATTATTTACTACAATAGAAATCATGTGATTAGCCAAGTACCCATTGAGTCTGTAAGTATTCTCCTGCAATGTTTATTCAGCAAAAATTAGCGATTTGGTTGTTTGCAGACGGGTTCTGCTAAGGAGCTAATTCAACTCGTTTTTTGTGATTTGCCCATTGTGGATTGGACTACCAGGAACTTGTACTTTCATAGCTTTGGAAGTGGGTATATTAATGTACTCGATCTTGCTAATTCAACCAACATAAAGGCGCTGTTTAAAACGTCTATTAATGAGATTGAAACGTTGATTGCGTTGGATCCGACTCGAGGTATGGCCTGTCCAGACATTTATAGCTGGTTCTTAATGCATGCATGTTTTAGGGCTGATTTTCTTCACCAACCCCAATCCAGTTCTGTCGCGCAGCTCAATTTATCGCGCTTATATGGACGGCACGGGGTACAAAACGTTCCTGAAGGAAAAAGTGTTCAATCCCAGTGGTCTGGAAGTCGATATAAAAGGCGGACGATTATATTGGCTGGAATACAAACTGGCCATCTTGCAAAGCGTCAATTTGGACGGAAACGATCTCCGAATCGAAATTGGTAATTCCACGCATACAACTTTTGGTGGCAAATAAACTGGGAAATCCGCACAAAGCTTGAAAAATTAATTGCGAAGGAACCAGCAGTTGGAATGAAACCAAACTTACTTTGTATGTTAGCGTTGCATTAAACTTGCACAAAAACTCAAAAGCAGTGCTTTGCATAGGGAAAACAATTAATATGAGAGGTTTTTGAAGAAAAATCTCTAGAATTTCTTGAGACACCACAGTGCAAATGTAAAAAAACTGATTTGTAGGTAAAGGCTTAAACAATCCGTACCAGTTGACGATTGGCCCCGATGGCACCTTGTACTTCATCAATGTAGGCAATGCGACCGTCATGAGCTACAAGAGAGGCGAGGGCTCAAAAGTTGCGTACAAAGCAACCCCTGCAATTGGCCACATTAAAATATACGACGCAAATAAGGTACATTTCTCCTAGTCGATGTTCAACGGCACTTTTTCAGTGTTTTCAATATACAGATAGGGAATCGTCCGAAACAGTGCGATGATTGCACCGGATTGTGTCTTCGAACCGTTGGAGGAGCGGTAACTTGTGCCTGCCGCGATGGATTTCAACTAGCGGAAAACATGAAAGACTGTGTTACAGATCAGAATTATATTGCTCCATCTGCATGTCCAAAGGTAAAGGCAAATTTTCATTTTTTACCGAAAAAATTCTAAGGGTGCGAGTCGGTTTCTTGAAACGGAGGCTTTCCGAAGACGTTTGTAGATTTAAAAGCTAGTGGCAGATGTAAAAGATTTACGAATGGCGAAAATTAGCACAAAAGGAGCGAACGAACTTTCTACGTTCTTTTCTAAGATAAATAAGAAAAACGCGAGAAAATCCGAAGAACTACAAAACGACGTCCAAATCCGAGCCCGGACTGGAAAGTTTTTTCTCTGAAGAAAGTTAACACTTCATTTATGATTTGAGCCCCTTTAATTAGTCACAAGTGCCCACCTGCAGGGCGATTGAAAAACGAACCTCCAATGCGTGTTCCATCGCATTTGAGGTTCGGTTTCAACGCGCGCTCCTCAAAACTTCAAATGTGTCTGCAAAAGACTTCATAATTCATTTTTGAACTTGAAATGCTTTAGAGCGATTTTTCGATTTTAACACCAAGCTCTTGTGCAGCTCATTCATCAAGCACCGTTTGAGGCTTTGAAACCTGGTCATCCGCAATCGATAAAGAGAGCTTCAACTTACTTGAGATGCAGATTTGGCTTCAGTCCAACTACTCGTTT